CAGTAAATTTAAGTGAATTTAAGAAAAAGCTTGATAAGTATATGAAAGAAAAGGGCTGGGTTTAAAATTTTTTATTAATTTTTTTAATCATTTGAATTTAGTTTTGAGGATGGAACAGCCGAGATGGACCAATAGGTCCCGTGTTGTCCCAAAATATTATGTTATGTTATGTTAAACACACTACGTAATTTGGTATACTTTAAACCCCCAGTTAATAGGCCCTAACTAACTATTGTGAGATAAATCTGTAAACTGAAAAATACCAAATTTGCAAATGATGCCGTTATTTATGAATTAACCCAAGGTTCTGGTTCAATCTGACTAGTTCATCATGAAAGTAATTACTAAAAATGTAAATTAAAAGATTCTTGAATGCTGTTTATTTATATTTTTGTTTTTTCTGGGCAGGTATATCACCTTGGGTGTGCAGGCGTTTGGAATGGTGGAAATAGGAAGTTTGGCTGGATTGCGAACTTTTAGGGTCCTTAGAGCCTTAAAAACCATGTCAGTAATGCCAGGTGTGTGAGAATTTTTCTAAAACCACTGTTACTAATGCTAGGTTTATATTTTGTTTTTTAAACAAAGTTAACATTACTACTTTCTACAGAACATGTGCTTAATGTTTGTAAAATTTATATAGCTGATGGTGTGGCTGATGAAAGTAATATTACCATATTATGCAACTTGACGATGAACAAGATGTCCATATAAAAGAAACTTTAGAAATAAAAAATCTTAAACCTGTATCAAACTCGTGCATCAGCTATAAAAAATGTCTAAAAAAATGTAAGTCTTTCTTTGTAAATATATTTCCTCTCATTCTAGATGACCTAATTTTTGATTAACTTTGGCACTTTTTTAAGTAATAGTATAACAGATTACCATGTTATCTCCATTAGTAGCCAAGCCAATCAGTTTTATGTTCAATGATAGTTTTTATATCCTATCATAGATGGTTAATGAAGGTAGTTATTTTGAGGGTTAAGTCACTGAGGTTTAATGAAGGTATATTTTTAGGGTTCCTGCCATAGATGATTAATGAAGGTAGTTATTTTGAGGGTTAAATCATAGAGGTTTAATTAAGGTAGTATTTTGAGGGTTAAGTCACGGAGTGTTAATGAAAGCAGTCATTTTGAGGATTAAGTCATAGAGGTTTAATAAAGGTATTTTTTGAGGGTTCCTGCCATAGATGATTAATGAAGGTAGTTATTTTGAGGGTTAAGTCATAGAGGTTTAATGAAGGTATTTTTTGAGGGTTCCTGCCACAGATGATTAATGCAGGTAGTCATTTTGAGGGTTAAATCATAGACGTTTAATGAAGGTAGTTATTTTGAGGGTTAAGTCATAGAGGTTTAATGAAGGTATTTTTTGAGGGTTCCTGCCACAGATGATTAATGCAGGTAGTTATTTTGAGGGTTAAGTCATAGAGGTTTAA